GGGGCAGGGGGTTGGGGCAGGGGGAGAGGCTCAGGGGTGCAGGCTCCGAGCGGCACTTACCTCAAGCGCTCCCGGAAGCAGCAGCATGTCCCTTCTCTGGCTCCTATGCAGAGGTGCAGCCCTGTCCTCAGGCACCGCCCCTGCAGCTCCCATTGGAGCACCAGAGAGGGCCACTGGGGCGGGGCCATTGGAGTGCGTAGGAGCCAGAGGCGGGCCATGGCACTGCTTCTAGGAGCCACATGGAGCAGCCCCCAACCCTGTGCCCCAGCTGGAGCGCCGGAGAAGGGCAAGCCCTAAATCCTGCTCCCCAGGGGGAGCTCGAGGGCTGGCTTAAAATGGCTCGCGGGCCGGATCTAGCCCAAGGACTGTAGTTTGCCCACCCCTGCACTAGCCATCTTTTACATATATCCGCATCCGCAAGCCGTCTCACAAGGACTAGCAACGGGGGGAGGGAAGGGAAGGAGTGGGCAGCAGGGTTTTGCAGGGAAGAGGCAGCGCAAAGGAGATGCTGGAGGGAAGGGGCTTCGCATCACATGCTGCTCCCAGGGGCTTGCAAGCGACGGCACACAGCAGCAGCAGTGCATGTTGCATCACAGTGGGGCAAAGGGGTGGAGCACTGGGGCACCGTCCACTCCAATTCCCATGGCCGGGGGTGGGCCCTGCTGCCCAAGAGCCATCGGGCCAGGCCCAGGATTGGGAGCGCAGTCAGTGCTGCCAGGCCGTGCCCTGATGGGGACACTGGCGCTGCCCAAGGGGTCTGAGCTGTTGGATAGGAAGCAGCATGACGAGCAGGTGCTTGACAGCCCCGACTCCAACCTGCCGCTCAGCTCTACCCACTGGCTACTACCGCCGGCCCCGAGCGTGCTGCACCCTCCAGGCTGCCCGAGCTGGAAGCTGGTGAGTAGAGCCCTGCGTGGTTGTATCCACATCCGATCCACTATCTGCAAAAATGGTCCATGGATATGAAGCAGATATCCACGGATTTGCAGGGCTCTACTTATTAAATTCATTGTCAGATACTTAAGGAACTAGCTGAAGCAATCTTGGAACTGATAGCAATTATCTTAGAGAATTCATGGAGAATGGGTGAGGTCCTAAAGGGCTGGAGAAAAGCAACGTAGTACATATCTTTAAAAAGAAGAACAAAGAAGACCCGGGAAATTATAGTGCTGTCAGCCTAACTTCAATACCTAGAAAGATACTGGAACAAATGATTGAAGAATCAGTTTGTAAGCACGTAGTGGATAGTAAGATTATAAGGAATAACCAGCATGGATTTGTCAAGAACAAAACATGCCAAAAAAACCTAATTTCCTTCTTTGAAAGGTTCACTGGTCTAGTGGTTCGGTGGGAAGCAGTACCAATAGCCGTGATATATCTTGATTTTTAGTAGGGCTTTTAACGCAAACCCACATGACATTTTCATAAGCAAACTAGAGAAATGAAGTCTAGATGAAATTGCTATTAAGTGGGTGCAAAAATGGTTGAAAGAGTAGTTTATCATTGGTTTTCTGTCAAATGGGGCGGGGGGAGAGGGAGGATATATTGTGGGGCCCTGCAGAGGTCAGTCCTGGGTCTGGTACTATTCAATATTTTCATTAATAACTTGGATAATGGCATGGAGAATATGATTATAAAATGTGTGGATGACATCAAGCTGTGAGGGGTTGCTAGCTCTCTGGAAGACAGGATTAGAATTCAAAACAACTGTGACAAATTGTAGAATTGGTCTGAAATCAACGAGATGCAATTCAATAAAGACAAGTGCAAAATACTACGCTTAGGCAGGAAAAAAATCAGATGCACAACTACAAAATATGAACTAATTGGCTATATCATAGTACTGCTGAAAAGGATCCGGAGCTAAAATGGATTACAAATTGGATATGAATCAACATTTTAGGAAAGATGTAGACAAATTGGAGAGTGTCCCAAAGAGAGCAACAAAAATGATAAAGGTTTAGTAAACCTGACCGATGCGGAAAGTTTGAACAAAAGGCATGTTTAGTCTTGAAAAAAGAAGACTGAGTTGGGGGGACCCTGATAGTCTTCAAATATGTTAAGGGCTGTTATTAAGAGGACAATGATCAATTGTTCTTCATGTTCAGCTAAGGTAGAACAAGAAGCAATGGGCTTAATCTGCTGCAAGAGAGATCTAGGTTAGATATTCAGAAAAACCTTCTAACTACAAGGGTAATTAAAATCTGGAATAGGCTTCTAAGGGAGTTTGGAATCTCCATCACTGAGGTTTTGAAGAAGAGGTTGGACAAACAAGGTTTACTTGGTCCTTCGTCAGTACAGGGGACTGGACTTGATGATCTCTTGAGGTTTGGGAGATTCTATAACAGGTTTGGGGTATTTCCTCCATCGTCAAGTCCTTCTTCCCCACTTCAGATTTCAAACCAGAAGTTCTCTGGGGGCTCTGATGCTCTCAGAAAAGAGCCAGTTTTCATAGTCCTCTCCATCCAGACCCCAAAAGCTGTGCGCTTCGTAATGAAAGTTTAATATAAAGATTTCCACCCCCCCCATATGTTTGCAAAAGCAGCATTAGAGTAATAGTAAAGGATTAAAATAAATTGAAATTAACAACCTTATATATAGATTTAATTTGCTAAAACTTTAGCTCTTAGTTGGTGGGAAGAATCAGTGAATCCAGAGTGTAATTATTTTTACAAAATACAGATTTAATGTAGTAGCCATAGTCATATATTAAAGATCCCACCTTATCTATTGGCAATAGTATTTCTAAAGATGTGTATGATTAGTAGAAAAGTATACAGTGGCATTCAGAGGCCTCCCACCCTGGGAGCCAAACCCCCTCTCCAGAGCCTCGCACCCCATATCTCTCTGAAATTAATTTTGAAATGCTGGTCAGGAGGGCTAGCAAAAAGATGGCTGCAGATTACTTCCCCTGGAACAAAGGGGAAGCAGAAATCCGATTGTGATTCTGCTCCTGTGACCTTGCTCCTGGGGCAACACAGCTATGAATTATCCTTTACTGATGCTGAATTGTAGGGTTACAATCCAGTTCTTAATATTTACTATGAGAAAGATTTTCAAAAGCACTCAGTGGGAGCAATTAGGCCAGTGCTGAACTCAATGGTAAAACAACTGACTTCAATGGAAGCAGAGGTAGGCCAATGCTGAACACTTTTTAAAAAGCCACCCAATTATTTAAATTGTTACATTTAATCAAAGGCATTAATTAATATGCATTTAAGTAGCATATTGAAAATATGCTGAGAAATTGTTAGAGCCATTGCAAGCCACAAAACCTCACTCACCCACTCCTGTAATAGACCCATAATTTCTGGCTGAATTACTGAAGTCCTCTTTAAAGACTTAAAGTTACAGAGAATTCAACATTTATTCCAGTAGAAACCTGCAAGTGACCTAGGCCCCATATAGCAGAGGAAGGTGAAAAATCCCCAAGGTCTCTGCCCCCAAATATGATGGTCATTTGGACCCTGAGCATTTCAGCAAGACCCAACAGTCCAACACCTGGGAAAGAATACTCTGTAGGAACTCAGAGCCCTTCCCATCCAGCGTCACTGTTGCTCCAGAGCTGAAGAAAGTGTGGATGTTAAACTGTGTTCCTAAAACTAGGTTAGCATCAAAGTTGATTCACAGAAAATGATGTGAACAATATATATATATATATATATATATATATATATTTGTATTCACTTGTGCTCAAAAAAGGGGCAAATAGAAAGAGGCAAAATTAATCAGGAAATATTAACTTTAAATTTTTAAGAGGGTACCACAAGTGATGGAAGTTAAAAATGAAAAAGTATTTGACACTCTGTAAAAAATGTATAATAGACACATGTGTTTCCCCACAGTGACAATGCATCCCATATTTTTCATAGTGATATTATTATGATTGGTTATAGCATAATTATGATGCATTTTATGCAAGATAAATCATGTAAGGTATAATTGGAAAAGTTATGAATTGCTGAATATGATTATCCTATTTGTATGCATATTTCATTTTTATCTGAAGTTATGAATATTGACTATGTATCTGTATTTCAAATGTAGTTACACCTGGATAATGCCCACTAGACAAGATGCTTTCAGTCTAGATAGTGGGTGGGGAAGGGCCTATTCAGGGCAATGGGCCATTAGGAAAGAACAATAGGCCTTAGGAGAAGCTTATCTCCCACCTGGGGAACCTTCCTGAGAACGCTACAGACAGCCTCCAAGTAATGGCTGCTATGACTCTCTACAAGGACATGTGACCAGACCACATGTCTGTGGACTCCATCTTGGGATGTCAATATTTTTCCACAGACTGGTTTGGGAACCAAGCAAGTGCAGCTTGCCCCTTAAGGATCTGCAACCTGCTTGTATCATCTCTTACAGTGAGAATCTGCTAATTCATATCCAATCTACCTAGTATATTTGGCTTAGTTTGTGTTTTTTGTTTATATGCTAGGTAATCTGCTTTGATCTGTTTGCTATCCCTTAAATCTATCTTTTGTAGTTAATAAATTTGTTTTTGCTTTATCTAAACCAGTGAGTTGGAGTGAAGTGTGTGGGAAGCTTAGCTCAAGGGGCAAAGGCTATTGCATATTCCTCTCCACATTGAGGGAGGGGGCGAACTTTATGAGCTTACTCTTTATAGGTCCCTGTGCAGCGCAAGAGGGTATAATTTTTGCGTTTATACTCCAGAGGGGGTGCATGCCTGGGGAATTGCCTTAGCTGTAGCCTTTCCATTGTTGGTTCATTGCAGGGGCTGGACAGAGAGCCTGCATGTAACTGCAGCTGTGTGTGGCACTACCTGTATGAAGGCTGGTGTGTAAGTGTTTGCATGATTGGGATCTTACTGAAAGAAACAGTTCATTATCTATATAAAAATGAGGTTTCTGGTTTTGGTTGATATGTAAAATTAAATAGCAAATACTGCATATCACTTATCTTTTATATCAGATGATTTGTTGGAATCTGGCACTGGAAGCCAGCTAGTCACCTTATTGTTATGAAATCCATCTTTATGGCATAGGACACAGGGACAGACACAAAAGGTTGGAAGCATAGAAGCATATCTTCATAAGTACTAAACAGTCCCCATTGTTGGATGACCAGAGTGAATCATCATTTATGTAGGTTATATCAAAGTTCACAATCTTCAAGTCCTTTTTAAGGTACATGTAATTCAATTTGTTTAACGTTCGAGCAAAGGCATATTTAGATGCACAGCTATATGCTTCCCAACTGTAGACCTTCTCAAAGTGCATGTCAAAATATGGATTATCCTAAAAAAAAATGAAGAGAGAATGAAATTACTAGCTTTATAGGCACTGGAACAGCAACATTTATTGTTTTATGCTTAGCCACCTTGTAGTCTTTATCTCACTATAACGGATTCATAAAATATTAGCACTGGACTTCAGAAATATTTCCACAATCCATAGACATTCCTACAGGGGTGGTTCTTTTAAATTTTTACCAAGAATGCCCTAAAACAGTCTGTAATCAGGTATAACTCTCAATGATGTGAGCACGGGTTTCAGGATTTGTCCAAATGAACACACTACAACTTACGACAATTATAAGACACAATTTTAAAATGTACAGGACTGTAATATTGTCCAAAATGTACTGTATGAAGAGCACTTATCTCTTATTATAAATAAATTCCCCTATCAAATTAAGAGTATTGATTGCCTTCTTTGCTTATATTGCAGATTTCTAGGTTTACTGGCTCCTCTGCTTGCTTAATGCTAACAATGGCTTTAAAATGAAACCTGTTAAATTAAACTTTGTGAATGTCATTAGCTGTAGTTTATTATGAACATTTATCCTAATGTTAATGACTTTATGATTAAATGTTTTTTCATCAGAAATAAGACAGGCCTTGATCATACCCTCCTATGAAAAAAACGTGTGGGAGGAGGTTCTAGAATAGGAAATCTCTGGGAGGATTCCCTCAGGGATAGCTCCCTCACATCACTGCATTATGGGAGTGGAGTTCAGTGTAGCCATGCTATGAGCAAGTCCTTCTGGCTGCCATGGCTGTGGGAGCTCTGGGATGTGAAGAGAGGAAAGATAAATCAGCCCTAAACTGTTATTTTTTTGGCTTAAGCTGCATGGAGCCAGGAGGGGCTGGGAGTGGTTGGACATGTCCTCCACCCCCTACCCTAATTCACCCAGATTTATCATAAACACAGAGAGTGCATAAAGTACTCGAAGTATGGGAAGGGGGATGTGACTGACCCTCCCCCATCATGGGCATGAGGGGAGTATCATGTTCTTGTACCAGACATGGACGAGCTACACAGCTTGCATATACACACCAGATGTGTTCATCATAAAATCCTTTCAGGCTTTGCCAGGTATGGCTGAGATTTGTTTAAATAAGGTATTTTACATACACACACACACCTAGTGACTGAACAGTAAAATACAATGTAGCATTCCATTACATCTCCCCCTTTAAGTTCTACATGCCCACCATTTACAATATTTACACTATCACACTCTTTGATGTTCAATATGGATCAGTCTGTTAAGTATCTCTGAAATGTGTTAAATTTCTAATTACATGATCCGAACACATAACAACTCGGTCATCTAGCTAGTTGCAACGACTGTCTCTGGTCAGTTTGGAATCTGAGTGTTCTTCATGTTCTGCATCTGCCATTTGTAGAGTTTGTTCAGCTCATTGTTCTTTCTGAGGAACAAACTGTAGATGTTGACAGTTTTTGTTGAACTCTCCACTATTGGTCTCAATCACATATGATCGTGGCGCTGAATTATTTCTTTACAGCAGCTGGAGTTGTCCATCCCTTTTCTCCATCTAATTTGACAAAAACATGGTCGCCAGGTGGTAGATCTGGCAGTTCTCTAACCAAGTGATATCTGTTGTAAAAGTGTTCATAAGCTTTTTTAGCCTTTTTATCCTATTGGGCTACTTTCTTCATGTCTGGTCACGTTGGAGATAGAACTACTGCTCAAGTTTTGGAAAAGAACCTGAGTTGTCTTCCCATCAGGAGTTTTGCTGGACCGTATCCAGTAGCTGCTGTTGGCATTGGTCTGTTACTCAGAAGAACAAGGAATGGATCTTCCTGCTGTAGGATTTTCTTGGCTGTGTGTACAGCTTTCTTAGCATCTCCTTTTGCTTGTGGGTAATGTGGGCTGCTAATAATATGATCAAAATCATATTTCATTCAGAATGACTTACATTCTGCTGCAGTGAATTGTAGTCTGTTGTCTGTCATTAGTTTTTCTGGAATACAGAAGTGATCAAAAGATAATTTCAATTTCTCAGTAACACTGTGACATGTTATTTCTTTCAAGTGCATTATTTCTGTATACCTGGAAAAACAATCCACTCCAAACAGATAATGATGTCCTCTGAATTTGCATAAATCTGCATCTAGTCTCTTCCAAGGTCTCTTTGGCAGGTATGTTTGTATACTGTATGGTTCAGCATTGTCTTCTTCGTTGATTTGTACTGGATCTCATTTCAAAAGTCCCCTATTATCATATCCATCATCAATTTCTTTCAATTTCTTTCACTAGCCCATAAGGGCTGCCATATTGCAGCTGAGAAGGTTGTTGGTCTTTGATCCTAAGCACTCTGAACAATTGGAAAAAGGCAACCAGAGTGCCCATCTTTAAAAAAAGGGAAGAAGGAGAATCTGGGGAACTACAGACCGGTCAGCCTCACCTCAGTCCCTGGAAAAATCATGGAGCAGGTCCTCAAGGAATCCATTTTGCAGCATTTGGAGGAAAGGAAGGTGATCAGGAACAGTCAACATGGATTCACCAAGGGCAAGTCATGCCTGACCACCTGATTGCCTTCTGTGATGAGATAACTGGCTCTGTGGATATGGAGAAAGCGATGGACATCATATACCTTGACTTTAGCAAAGCTTTTGATATGGTCTCTCACAGTATTCTTGCCAGTAAGTTAAAGTATGGATTGGATGAATGGACTATAAGGTGGACAGAAAGCTGGCTAGATCATCGGGCTCAACGGGTAGTGCTCAACGGCTCAATGTCTAGTTGGCAGCCGGTATCAAGCGGAGTACCCCAGGGGTCAGTCTGGGGCTGGTTTTGTTCAACATCTTCATTAATCATCTGGATGATGGGATGGATTGCACCCTCAGCAAGTTCGCAGATGACACTAAGATGTGGGGAGAGGTAGATATGCTGGAGGGTAGGGATAGGGTCCAGAGTGACCTAGACAAATTGGAGGATTGGGCCAAAAGAAATCTGATGAGGTTCAATAAGGACAAGTGCAGAGTCCTGCACTTAGGCTGGAAGAATCCCATGCACTTCTACAGGCGGGGGACTGACTGGCTATGCGGCAGTTCTGCAGAAAAGGACCTGAAGATTACAGTGGATTAGAAGCTGTATATGAACAGTGTGCCCTTGTTGCCAAGAAGGCTAATGGCATATTGGGCTGCATTAGTAGGAGTATTGCCAGCAGATCGAGGGAAGTGATTATTCCCCTCTATTCGGCACTGGTGAGGCTACATCTGCAGTACTGCATCCAGGTTTGTGCTCCCCCACTACAGAAAGGATGTGGAAAAATTGGAGAGAGTCCAGCAGAGGGCAACGAAAATGATTAGGGGGCTGGAACACAAGACTTACGAGGAGAGGCTGAGGGAAATGGGGCTATTTAGTCTGCAGAAGAGAAGAGTGAGGGGGGATTTGATAGCAGCCTTCAACTACCTGAAGGGGGGTTCCAAAGAGGATGGAGCTCGGCTGTTCTCAGTGGTGGCAGATGGCAGAACAAGCAGCAATGGTTTCAAGTTGCAGTGGGGGAAGTCTAGGTTGGATATTAGGAAAAACTATTTCACCAGTGGTGAAGCACTGGAATAGGTTACCTAGGAAGGTGGTGGAATCTCCATCCTTAGAAGTTTTTAAAGCCTGGCTTGACAAAGCCCTGGTGGGGATGATTTAGCTGTGGTTGCTCCTGCTTTGAGCAGGGGGTTGGACTAGATGACCTCCTGATTTTCTATGAATGCATAGCTTTTATCTTTTTAAACTGTTTCTGTGATGAACTGGTACATGCAGTTTAGAATACCTCCAGGGCTACTCAGAGCTGTGTCTGGCGACTTAAGCTCTGGGAGGAGTTGAAGTGATTGTACATCCCTTCTGAGATGACTGTGACATCAGCTTCTGAGTCAGTTTTAAAGTCAATAGTCTTGCCCTGAATATTCAGTTTCACTCTCCAGGCAGGCTCTATGTCATCACAAGTGATAGATTCCAGAAACAATTACTTTTGATTGTCTATAATATGAATCAACTCCCTGACTGCTTTGGTGCAGCAAACAGACGCAAAATGTCCACATATTGTACAATTATTACACCATGTGCCTCAGCTGGAAATGCATCATCTCTTGGGATATGTCTTTTTCCACACTGTGATGGGTGTTCAACCCACAATTGCCCTGAAAAGGTTAATGAAGGCAAAGAAAGGGGTTAATTATTCCAACAGGCCACAGCTGAGGGGAATCAGGTGGCCAAGTAATCCCTTGAATGAGTAAAGGAGTCCAGGTCTGAGCTGGGCTGGACTTATAAAGATAGGAAATTGTAAGCAGTGGGGGCTGCTGAGAAAGGGCAGACACTCTCTGGGAATGGGGAGGAGTGTTTGGAGACTGCAGAGTGAGTAGGATGCAGTCATTTCCTGGGAAGAGGGAGAAGGGTTTTGGAGCTGGTAGACCCAGAGAGAGAAGGGGGACCAGTGGTTGGAAGCAGTCTAGGGAAGGTGCAGTGAGGGCTAGGAGAGGAAAGCTCAGGACTGCTGAGGTTGAGGGTCCCTGGACTGGAACCCAATGTAGAGGGCAGGCCTGGGTTCCCCTACCAGCTACTGGGGAGTGGCCAGGGCATTGGAGATGCTAGACAGACAGCAGGTCTGGAAAGACTATGAATTCCCTGGAAGGTGAGGATCTTAGTGACCTGGCTGGAGGGCTGAGTCATGATGAGGATGCCACGGTTCCTGGAGTGAGGTGGATCTGCAGAGGGAGAGGACGATGGGAGAGGCACCACCTGAAGAAAGTGCACCACCTGGCAGAACTAATCCCCAGGATGGCCAGCAGGAGGTGTCACTGTGTGAGTGGACCCTGTGACACATACCTTGTGCGTGTTAGCTGGAATTTATTCTTCTTAGACTGGGAGTTCTCTCTCCTTGCCACAGGGGTTTTATTATGATGCCTTTTAACACTCAAGTGTCTGTTATAGCTTCTAAGCTAGTTTCAGGCTTTTCAAGTTGCTCCTGCCTTTTGTTCTGTTTGACTAATTC